TTAAGGGATGAAATCTCGAAAGGTATAGTGAATTCACAACTTTATCTGGGTTGTTCAGTTCCACAAAATGCACAAAATTGAGTAAACACAGTTGACTACCTCTATCCGGTCGCTGTTTTCACACAGAAGGTGAGGTGTATGCTGATTTTGTGGAAGTAAAACCTATGAGTGAGTTATGACACAATCAAAATATTTGTTTCTATGAACTGCTCCTTGTTTACACAGGTATTGTATTCGAAAACTGGAAACTGGTAAATGATGAAGCGACATGTTTTCTCAAAAAAAGATGTCCTGAGAAATTTGATGTTTTGTTCCACAAACTTCTCCACAAGCAAATATTCTTCAGAGAACTAATTATAGATCAACTGCACTAGCAGAGTTATCCGCAGCACATTTTTAAAACTTTCCAAGGATAACTGGGGTCCACATTTGTATCAGTGACATTCCACAATTATTATTATTGATGGTGTCATTATTTAACATGTGTTAAATTCAATGTACCCCCACTTTTGTCAAATTGACTTTTGAAGTGAGTATTTTGATGTCGTGCTCAAAAACATGTCATAATATTCATACTGATAGTGAAATAAAAGGAAATTACTAGTCCTATTCCGCATTCTTCTCTTCAGTGTGAAAATTAAAATGTACACCCTCAGTTAGTATTGTGGTTTCAAAAATTGACATTTTGAGTATTTGTAATATCAATTTATGAACTTTTGGCAGTTTGACATCTACTTATAAGCCACGATTCATTTTCACATAAATCACAGTTCTGTAGATTTTATTCGATTGAACTATAACGAAGACATGGATTCTATTCACATAAATAATTGACTACAATATTAATAACAATTTCTATGATCCAGTGACGTATCCTATTGAAAAAAATATGAAGCAAACAATTAGTTAATCTAAACTGCTTTGAAAACCTCAAGAATGGGAGCACATATGAGTTCAAACCAATAACTAGTTTAAAAACACCACCAAGGTCAAGCTGAAAGCCTTTGAAGGAACCATAGAGAGACTACAATTCAAGTTCAACACTGAAAAAGGGAAGTACAAAACTACAAAGGACACCTTCACTGCAGTCAGCAGAGAAAAGTCGTAGTAATTAAACATTCAAGAGACTTCTGCGGAAAACGTCTATAGCCATTTTTGAAAGAAAGAGGAGGCAAGACAAGGAATGACTCTCAAAGGATACCTGCAAACTAATGGAGGAGAGTATGATGGTCAAAGAGAAGATGACTCAATACAAAGATGGACAACAGGAGGAGTTGAGTTCAATGTTTTCTGCACTGAATAAAGAAGTGAAGAAGAGTGCTAGGAAAGACAAAAGACAATTCTACGACACACCGGAAGGTAACTGAAGCAGAACAGGCAGGTCGCAGGTAAAAGGCAACTCAGGACGTTATATGAGATAACCAAGTCTATCGCTATCGGCGAAGAGACCAAGCTAGATGATGACGTCTATAAAATATATTCAAGGGGATCTGATTAACAGGGAGGGGAAACAAAACATACAGTAAGCTGATCAATTTAAAAGACTCTTGAATCGACCGTCACATGCAACTGGCCCAGAAACACCGACAACACCAACAGACGCACGGAACTGCCTACTAGTGGACACCAATGCTCTGACAAAAGCGGAAGTCTTAAATGTAACAAAGCTACTGAAGTCCAGGCACAGATGAGGCGATTTTGAGTCCTTTGTATCATTATTTTTGAAAAGACTGAAACACGAATAATAGAATTTTCGCTATTCTTGGAGCGTTTTGTGACTGTGTGCGTCCCAAGGGATTTTATTCACACATACAGTAGGACGCAAAAATAGGTTTTCTGAGTTCCAAACACGAGTCCGCTTTGGGTTGCTTTATTTCTCAAAATACTGAGAAAATATGATTGACAGACGCCCAATGAAGACTTCTACGGATCATTATGGATAGGATTTTATTTTGATAAGTCACACAGTGTTGTACAGTAATATTAACTGATGACGTTTCGAGCACAAATTATTGCTCATAATCATATCAAGTTACTAACACAACTTTTTTTCCCTTCATTTATATACATGTGTAGAATCTATTAGATATTGGAATAAAAATCAATATGAGGTAATGTACATTCAGAGATAATGATATGAGTGTTGTTGATCAATTACAATCAGATGGGAAATAAGACGAGTGTTTTTATAGTCATAATAAGTAGGACCCAATTGAACAAAATGATATAATTTACAAAATACCTTGTAATGACTGTGAGGTCAACTACATAGGTCAAACTAGTAGATCGGAGGTAATCAGATTGTCGGAACATAAGAATTTAGCTAAGGTTAGAAAGCGTGACCCCGAGAAGATAAGTAATTTAGAAGAAAAACGGTCAGCGATTGCACTACATGCAATAACACACAACCATACAATAGGGTGGGAGATGGTTAAAATTCTAAGAAGCAATCTATGTAGATGGAAAGAGAGATTGATTACTGAATCCTGGTTCATTGAGTCTACACCTAACACATACAACAGAAATGACTCAATGCAAATACCAGAAATATGGAAGATATTATTACCACCCGTCAAATCAGAAGAGGATAATAAATAATCTCAAATTTCTATTTCAATTCAAGCAAATCACAATATTCTAACAAATTACTTATTATAACTATAAGAACATTCGTCTTATTTCCCATCTAATTGTAATTGATCAACAACACTCATATCATTATCTCTGAATGTACATTACCTCATATTGATTTTTATTCCAATATCTAATAGATTCTACACATGTATATAAATGAAGGGAAAAAAAGTTGTGTTAGTAACTTGATATGATTATGAGCAATAATTTGTGCTCGAAACGTCATCAGTTAATATTACTGTACAACACTGTGTGATTTATCAAAATAAAATCTTATCCATAGTGGAGTTACACTCTACCACAGTGCCCAAGTTTTATACTTATATCAATTCTACGGATCATGTTGTGAACGAGGAGAATGTGGCAATATCTTGGATGAGCATTCAGGAAGGCGACATGTCCGATGAGAACGATGAAAATGAAGGGTGACAAATACGATCAAGTGGTTTAAAAGGATCTTGCTTAAATATTCTTCATGTAACTGAAGCTTTCGGATTTCATAAGGAAGGACTTTAACTTCATGGCATTCAAGTGTTGGTTTGCAGGGATTTGATTGGTCACAGGTTTTCATCGTGAACAGATATCGAGAAGAGAACCATTGGAACACCTAGGAGTACTGGACAGCTGTTTCGTTCTAGTTGGGGACTGTCGGTATGATAGAAATGAGGCGGGAAACTGACTGAATTTTGAATGATGTTAATGAAAGAAGTTTCATTCCACCTACTATTATTGCAGTGAATTGCTGTTATCGTTAACGTTATACAAAATCAAGCTGGAACTTTGAAGCTTCGGTAGCAATGGTTTTATTTTTACGCTGTGGGTTGCTAGCCGGGATTACTACCGGCCTAGCAAGGTTTAGGTATGTTCTCGGTCGAGGACTGAACACCCGGACGACATGAGTAGTTGATACTCATTCTACCGATGAACAACTACTGACGAACCACGAACATTGCTTGCTACTACTTAATTTGAACACAGCAAGAACTACAGTTTTAGCAGAATAAAATGGTACCATCTTTTATTTCGGTGCCTTCTCGTCAGCTGCTTGCAGGTCAAAGACATTATTAAATGTATCTACAAAAACAATTTTAACATACTTGCACAGAGTTCATTTTAAACGAAAATCAATCGATCAATATACGCATACACTAATAATATACGCAGTGGTTAGGACTCTCGCCGACCATGCACATTGTCCGGGGTTCGATCCCCTGCCGACGCACACCCGATATCTATGGTCGGCCTGCAAAATTTGGGCTACCGATATCCATGCTGAAAGTTCCATACTTGTACTGAAAATACGGTGTGGCATCAAACTGTAACCAAAAATTAAAAAAAATAAAATATATAAGTGTGCAATATTAAACACTATTCCGAACAATAATCACCATACACAATGAAAACTTTTCAACATTTCGCATTCGGATGAAAAATATCCAGTTACCAGGGCAAAGAAAGACTGATAACTGATTCTTTCTGAACGCACAGATCAGGTTTCAGGCGCTTGATGGAAATGGCTTCACCAAACTTAAGGAGAATTGAGCTCTTTTGCTTATTGATAATTTTGAACGACTTTTCGACGTCCACCTCATGACCCGTGTCGAGGAGATGCCTGGCGATGGCACTGTTTAATGCATTTGTTCCCTTTAGGCATAAGCTTTTTGGTACATGTTCAGAAAATCGTAGATATGCCCTTCTTTCTGTCCTTCCAATGTAACTGCTCCCACAGATACACAATAATAATAAATTAGTTGAAAAACATCCTAACGATAAGAAATTTGTCATTATTATACAACAGTTTTTTTTTATTCCAAAATTTTAGTTACGCATAATACATGCATATCGTCTTTATTGGCGTAGAAACAAACGAATAAGGATAAATCCTTTGAATCTTCAACATATCGATCAGTAGCCTATTTAAATGAAGCATTTAATCAATGGCATCAAGAGATAATCAAGGATAGCCATGCATGATATGAAATGTGGTTAGTTGGTCTGTCAGATTGAATTTGATAAACCTCGAACAAAGTGAAAGGTACAGTTTAATAAACTTTCTATTCTACACATTGTTTTTCTTTTTTTCTTTTTGAAAAAAATAATAAAATTATAATTATGCTTGTTTAGATTTGTAAAATTGGTTTTATGAAATAACTCTATTGATAATTCAATTCTCAAATATAATATTTATCTCACAAAAGTACAATGTTTTACTGTTTTATTTATATATGGTAGTTAGTAGTAGTTATCTGACTTCAATACAATTTACATAATAATTGACAAATAAAAGCGTGTTTGTTTTAAACCAATAACCGAAGGAAGGATGGCATTTCAAAAAAGTGATGTAATCAGTACTCTAATATAACTTCTCACTGAGATGTAACAACCTTGATAGAAATAAGACGATTCACGATCTGATCAGTAAAACCACCTTTATGATTTGCTTCTGGTAAATTTGATATATGATTCATATAAGATGAAATGGCTTCTTGCACTGCCCACCGTAATTCTAAAACACGAGCATCAACAGGGACTACTAGAGGCAATCTTACACCATCTCCTCGTAGTAGAGTTAAGCGCATAGCCTGTAAGTAAAACAATCAACATATAGGTTGAGTTATAATAAAAATTTGCTTTCAAATTTACAGACAGTAAATAAGTTTTTTGAACATAAAAAATAAAATAAGGATAAACAAATAGTATCCTGATAGGTTTCTCGACAATAAGGCTGAAATGGAAATGTAACTTTCAGTATGGAACTCAAGTCACTGATAATATCAAAACATCAATACTATTCGAAGCTTCAGGGTGGTAAAATACTAACTAGTTTTTTAACGGTTCTCTAACTGTAACCAATGAAATCCCTACAAACAAATACTTGACAATTAATCTCATGGTCACTAGCAGCCGGCCTAAAACAGGACGTACCTGAAGTTCTAATGGAAAGTGGTAGATAGCGGGGTTCATAGGCTATTATATCAAGTCTTGTTGGTTGAATGGTCTACGAGCTCACCTTGCAACCAGAAGGTTCTTTGTTTGACAGCCGGTAGGTGCATACTGATGAAGAGTCTCATATTAGGACGAAACAGTTATCCAGTACTCCCTGCTTTTTCGATGATTCTCTAACCGATATCAGCTCGTAACCAAACCTGAAACTAACTGAAATTATAAGGGCTAAAAGATATGACAATAACAAGCCTTACTGTGAGAAAAAATAATAATAATTGGTAACATAATTTAGAGTAAAACCAAAACATTTAGAATACTTCTTTGAATACAGAACATATCTTATCATCATTCCACTGCATTTAAATTATTAAAATTGACCGACAGTTAACTCAGCGAAGAAAACAAAACAGATTTCTAAACTAGAAAATCTCTTTATATTAAAAACATTTTCAAACAAGTGATTAGGTATGTATGACAACTCAAAATAATGTTTTAAAAAGCTAAATAATTTATATGACTATGGTGAATATAATAGAAATTGCAACGAATTAGTGTTTAGGAATTGCGCGACGTAAACTCAACAAGTCAGTCCCACTAAATAGTTCTTGAAATTTGCAGATATGTGGGTAATGCTTACTAAATGTAAAATATTTGGATGAGCCAGGGCTTTATCAATAAACACTGCAAACATTTTATTTGCACAACTACGCATCTGATTCGACTTAGCTGTCAAAAAGTACTCGAGATTCAATTAAAACTGTTCAAGATAGTGAAGTAGTACAATTTTCCCTTCGGAAAAAAGTGAATGGTTAAAACCACAAGCTTTTTGGTTTGTATAAGAGACTATCACCTAGAGAGAAAAGTGTAGTGTATGTGCGGATACCAGGTGAGTGTCATCTGTTAGACTTCTTGGATGAGCGAAAATAAAAAAAACTGTCGATGCTTGATAACAATTTCCGCTTAAGCACTCATTGACTGCAATTAAAATGACATAAATATTTTGCCTAGAAATAGTCAATTTCCTTAGAAAAAAAACCAAATGTCCCAACAGTCATATGAGTGAATGAATTCTGGTCCTGATAAACTGGTAGACAATAAAAGGTGATGCGGGTTGTAGCTCACATCCAAGAGTTTGAAATTCTCGTAGCTTTAAGTAAATTGACCCACTAAGGTTATTCCGTGCAAAACTATAACCATAGTGATAACAATATGCAGCTTAGACGTCCATTGATTGTGCGTTTACATATAACCGCCAGCAATAAAGGTTACGTTTTGGAGAAATCATCATAGGAAAAGAATACTAGTTCAAAAATCTTGGATGATTACTGAAACTTTTTCAAGGCAAGATCGTTTTCTGGTAGGTTTCCAGGATAAGTGGATGAAGTTTTGAAACACCACAGTTCAACAGGTATGTGATCACATTTTAATTATTCAATATTCAGCCTATGGTTGGATGAATCCCTCACACAAAAATGGAGGATGTTTTCAAATCGAAATCCAACAAAGCACCCGAGTTTGGAAGTCTGTGGTCAGTGTTTACTGTTTAGCATATATATATAAAGCGATGTATGGAAACAAAGTTCACAATATAAGTTGAGATTATTCATTATTTTAGTATGTACTGAAGAACAGAGCTGCATATGATAACCACAAATCAGCTGCTTAAATGTAAACTTTTGTTATTGAAGGTAAATGTTCATCAAAGGCAAATATAAATTATCAAAGGTTCTTAATTGCATAGACATTGTGATACATGAACAGAACTTATAAATATAAAAGTATTCCTGTTTAACTTTAGTAAGGGTGTAGTGATGAACGTGAGTTAGTTTACAACATCAGTTACGTTATATGGACCAACAGTAATTTAATTCATTGGTAATAGAGGCAGTCGTATACGTGAGAAAGTTGTACCAGTTTCGACCGACTGCCAACTGACGAAATCTTAGAATGAGAACATGCGAGTCGTTTTACATTCGCAAAACTGGATTTACCTCTGAAGTTAATAAGATATATTATTGTTGATTAACTTTAAAAGTTTACTGCACAGAAGTTCGCTGTTTTAATTTAATGCTCGAGAAATGACAACTGAAGATGAAAAATGAATATGGAATACACAAAATACGATCACACTTGTCTTATACGCATTGACAGTACAAACATGAGTTACTGAATGAGAAATTTCGAAGCTAGATGCACTGCACTTACATACAGAGGTAACTCAGTGGATTGGATTATGAGTTTGAGACAAGTGCAGTAGCTGAGATACGATTTATCCATGTCAAGCTATTGTCTACAGCTTGAAATCGTTCTCAATGGCTGGCACAGATGCATCCACTCCTTGTGACTTATAATATCCAATAAAACTATATTTATAGGTTTCCAGGCCGTAGGTGTTACTAACTTCCTGGAATAATTTGAGCGCCGAGTCAGATTGATTCATTATAAATTATTTAAATTAATTAACCATATTTCTCTTCTCATATCTTTGTTTTGAATCTCTTCTTACTCTCTTCTCTTGCTTTGTGTGCTAAGTGAAGTGTGGTAACTCTAACTGCTGCACATTGGTGCAAAGTTCTACGTTGAAACCAGTCAGTCAGTCAGTTTTAGACTTGGGCACTGTGGTAGAGTATAACTCCATTATAGATAAGATTTCATTTTAATAAATCAAACAGTGTTGTACAGTAATATTAACTGATGACGTTTCGAGTTGTATGAGTCACTTGATGTGATTATGAGCAATAATTTCAGCCCGAAACGTCATCAGTTAATATTACTGCACAACATTTTGTGATTGATCAAAATAAAATCTTATCTATAATGCAGTAAGTCAGTGTCTAACAATAATATAAACCAAATTCAAGTTGACGTGAAAGACAACTGAGGGTGGCCAGAAGGAAAATCATTCAAAAACGAAGTTTTCGAATACCTGTCGAAACATCAAACTTTTCGAATGGAATCAAAGTGATACTGACAGTAAGTGGTTGAGAATTATTGTATCAATACATCCCGCACCGTCAACACAAAATTGATGATAAGGCTGATTATTATTCCCCTGAGTTCAGAGTAAAACAAGGTTTCAGTAGCACATTCCCATTTCATACTTTTTTCTACAGTCTTTCTTAGTTGGTTTCACGGTTGCCCATAAGGTCTCATCTACTCACACGATCTCCTCCATGTCACTCTTCGAAGTACAACTCGTCGTTTCCCACTTGGGTTCCACTCAACGGCCTGTATGGCGTGTGACATCACGCAACGATCTCGTTAGTGTCTGTCCGATCCATCTCCATTTCCTTCAGAAAACTTTTCGAGCGATAGGTTCTTGGTTAGTTCGTTGCTAGAGTTCATAGTTGCTAATCCTTTATGGTTGACTATTTGATCTTTAGCTTTGAGGGGAGGAAGTTGTTGAAGAAAGTCTGCACCAACCCGTTGGTAACAGGCCAAGTCTCCGAACCATATCGAAGAACAAACTTAATATTTAGTGTTGAAAATATAAATCCTCCGTATGCTGAGTGCAGTATATTTCCACACTGATTTCAAAGTAATCAAGAGCTGTATTGCTTTTAAGATCCTGGTTTTGATATCTTAATCCGTGGCGCCACTAGTTGAAATGATGTTGCCTTGTTAAGTCAGAGATGTTACCTCTTTTAGACTGACTATCGTTGTTGTTAGTTCGTTATCTGCATCAACTCTGCCTTCTCTACGTACACTTGAAGTTTTGTCTTTGCTGCTTTTTCTGTCAACCCGTTGTTTGAGATTTGAACTTGTATCTCTTAGTGTTATCAAGAAGCCTTTTAGTCAGCGATAAGTTTTAGATTACTCTTACAAGGCAGTGAAGATTACATCACTCACATGAGTGGTGATACGGCTTTATTTAAAATATAAAAGCAAACAAACAATTGCTACTCAGATGACTACCTCAAGTAATACTGTCCCTAAAAACACTGTGGCCTAAGTATCATATAGAAAACATTATGAAAATTCTGTCTGAAAAATAAATCGAAGAATCTACTGTGCTGGGGATTGAATACTCCGCATCTAATTTCCTTCTTAGAAAAACATACCCGTAAGGAGATATTTTTCAATTTCAGTAATAACCAAAAAACAACAATTAAATTGCAACAACAGTAGAACTTACACGTCCAAAATGAATTTCAATGGTGTTCATAACATCTTTGTTTGATGGTAGGTGTAAGACATCATTTTCTAGCTCTTTTGACTTTGGAATAAGATCATTAAGAAATCGATCGACAGCAATTATCGATGGGAGTTTCTGATCCACACATTCCAAGACAGTTTCATACTTCTTCATGGTGGCATTGAACTCCTCCTCCATAGTTCTCACTTTATCACAAGTAAGTAACTTTAAGTTTTGAACAAGTGATGTTTATCACCATCAAACTAGGTCAATTAGCATAGTACCTGAAACACCGGAAAGCACTAAAAAGGTAAAACACACTTATTCACACAAGTACGAGAACAAATTTAGACAATAAAACAAGATTATTGACATCTGGTACATGTATTTGTACCACTCAATGTTTTCTCAACGAAGACCTTCATTCCTAATATCAGCATGTGCAACCCCAGTTCTAGTGATACATCATATAATTTCAGGAAATATACAAGCATAACTGGGTGAATTGAAATTTCATTTTTCGTGCGTTAAATCTTCCATGTATGCAGATAAGATTACGCGAATAGGTACTAAAACAAACTATTCCACCCAAACAAGCAGCCGACCAAGTAACCCTTCACAACCAGCACGATTGCTTCACATTCTGCATCATGTCTATTCACCCTATTCATGAAATAACCCGCGGATTTATTCTGGTTTATTTCACTTAAAGTTATGTTTGGCAATTGGGTTTAAGATTAGGCTAGAGTTAGGTATTCATTCCGGTTAGTTTTAATGGAAAATTTGGCGATAACATTAAGCTTAATTCTATCGCCAATGTTAAGCTGATTAAATGCATTCTTATTCATTTATTCATCTTACACCAAAGCTAGCATTATTTTCGAGCGCACAAAGGAATCGTAGGGACAAAAAACTTCGGGCGCATAGACTTACATGGGTCAGTGCCCCTAAGCCTGCCCCAACCAATCTAAAATGTGACCAAAGTCTGGTCCAAAGTTCTGCAATGCGCCCGAAATCGTTGCTAGCTGGGACGTCTTTAATTACACATGCATGTGTAAAAGTATTGTTATAACGAGGCTATTCTGAATGATTGTACAACAACATTTGGTAGATTTTTTTGAGTTGTGACACTTAAAACATACCGGACTAGTATGCTAGTCTCCAAAAAGTAATGGAATTTGTAACGTCATATCATATTCTGAACTTGCTGAAATATGACACATCTTGAAATAATAGACACATCTACACATAAAACGATATCATACATAATACACGTAACATTTAGGATACCATATGATAATATTTGTTACAGCAACTGCAAACAGAGACAGGGAATCAATCTATAAAACCAAACCAACACAAAAATGACAATTCGTTAGGCAGTAACGCACCACTTTAATACTGCGCTGTTGAAATCTCAAGGGCGTTAAGGAACCAATATCCAATATCGTTTTTACCAGCTAGTATAAACCAATTTGATTTCTTTGTGCTCGCCTCTTGATTGTGAGATAGGGGTTCCTGATCTTCGGTAAACTTCTGCGTATCTCGTCCCGCCACTTGACTGTCGTAGCTTTTGTTGACTCCTAAATGAGTTGTGCAGGGATTAATTGTATGTGGTTTGTAGAATGAGGTGTGTTAAGACTGTTACTACTGTGAATGGAGTTGATCCTTTCACCATTTGGTCCTTCGGTATCGTCGTCAATAGAAAAGAGATTATAATAATAATAATAATAGATATAATTAGTGAAGGTATTCAGACTAACAGACAGAAAAAGAATAAGAAAACGTAACAACAGTCAGTCAACCGGTATATATATACCAGTAATAATGATAATAATAATAGGTGTAGTTAAAGCTGTCAGGAGAGTAAGACTGAAGCGAATGTAAAGAAGTAAAACGACCAGTTTAATTGTCTACCTTTGAATGGTGTATGCGATTTTAAGGGGATAGGCCATTTGGACTCAGTCCTCGTGTCGCTGCATGGTTGTCCAGCCTTCGCTTAAAGGCGTCCACAGATGGTGCCATAGCTACATCGGCCGGTAAGGAATTCCAGGGACGGCAAACCCGCAGGGAAAAGAAGTGGGAGCGCACCCGGGTCCTCGCCCTCTGATGAGCTATTCTTCTAGGATTTCCACGAGGGAGTCTATACCTACTCAATGGCAGAACACCTTTGTTTGGGTGATTCTGACCATTTGTCATTTTGTAGGCAGTAATTAAATCTCCCCTTAGACGACGGTAACTGAGTGTGAATAGGCCCAATTCCTTCAGCCTTTCATCATATGGTTTATTTCGGAGACCAACAACTCCTTTTGTTGCCCGTCGTTGGACTCTTTCCAAGAGGTTGGCGTCTCTTCTAAGCAGTGGGGGTGCAATGATATTATGCACTTCAAGATGCGGTCTGACGTATGTTTTATACAACCTTAGAAAGAGCTCAGGAGTGAGTGCACCTAATTGTCTATGTGTAAAGTGTATGACCGCATATGCCCTCGCTTCATCCCCCGTGAAATTTACGCTTGTGTCCATTTTCTCCGTTAGAACTAGACCTGTGTCCCGTTCCGACGTTGAACAGGACAAGCTTTCATTGCACAGGGTGTAACTTGCATTCTGCAGTCTACAGGTGCGTAACTTCACTACTTTGCACTTTTTCAGGTTGAAAGTCATGCCACTGGCTACCGCCCAGTCTTCCAGAAGCCTTAGATCTGCCTGCAGTCTATCTGAGTCCTCCGGACACTTTATCGCCCTCCATATCTTTACGTCATCAGCGTATAGAAGAGTCGGGCAGCTAAGGCGGCATGGTACATCATTGATAAAAATCAAGAACATCAGTGGTCCCAAGATAGAACCCTGCGACACTCCTGAGGACGAGCTGTGCCAAGATGATCGGACTCGAGTGACCTTAGTGCAGAATTCCCTTTCAGTTAGGTAGTCCTTCAACCATGACAGAAGTGGTTTACCTAAACCTACCTGGCTTATTTTGTGTAGGAGAAGGTCATGGTAAACAGTGTCAAATGCCTTCTCAAAGTCTACAAAGATCACATGGACTGGAACATTCATATCCCAGCATGATGTCCAGTCGTCCCAAGCTGATAATAAGTTAGTGACGCAGGATCCCCCTTTCCTGAAACCGTGTTGGGCTTCATGGAGTATTTTAGACCTATCCAGATATTCCCTGATGTGATCATCAATAATACTTTCCAGTACTTTCGATACCACTGGGAGTAGAGCTACTGGTCTATAACTGGTGGGATTTTGCCTATCCCCACCCTTGAAGATCGGAGAAAGGATGCTTCTTTTCCATTCCTCTGACAGTTTCCCCGATTCCATGGAGTGTTGGAACAAGTCACATAAAGGCCCACAGAGAGCTTCGGCGCACTGTTACAGAACAGATGGCCTGATGTCATCACAGCCTGGGGACTTCCCAGGTATGAGTCGCTGCAGCTTTCTCAGTACTATTGCAGGGTTTATTTGGGGGGTGGCTATTTGGTCTTCCCCCTGTGAAATAGTGATGCCACCATTTTGGTCCGTAACGGTAATACCCACATTGCTGTTTAGCTGTTTGGCGAAGGCTAAACTAAATGTTTCAGCCATCTCCAGACTAGTGAGATATTGACCGTTTTGGCCTACTAAGACGCACGCCCCCTGGTTGGTTGGTTTCCTTCCCGACATGAATCGGTACAAATTCTTGGGGTTTGCCAGGAGTTTTTAGCAAGATTAGCCTGGAATGACCTCCTGTCCCTCCTGACTCTTGCATTGCACCGGTTCCTGAGTTCCAGGTATGCATCATGGTCGATCTGGCTTTTAGATATGCGCCACGTAAACCAAGCCTTCCGCTTTGCTTGCAGAATACGCTGCGTGCCTCTCTTTAACCATGATGACTTTCTTTTGGGCTGTGTTGTGACTAAAGGGACGGTATCCGAGATTACTGTATGAATAATCTTTTTTACCGCTTCCTAGTGTTCATCCACAGACAGCTCATCCCATGCTAAGGACCAGTCTGCATCGGACAAGAGCCTCCACATTTCAGCATAGTCAGCCTTGTTATAACACAGACATGGCTGCGTAGCGTCCCACTGCTAATGCTCAAGGAGAACGAGGTCGAAACCTATGACTGCATGATCACTACCTCCTAGAGGAGTCATGATCTGGACCTTCTCGACAAGTAGTTGGTCACTAGTTGGAATGTAGTCTAGTTTTGATGACCTTCCACTAGGGCCCCACCTAGTGTCGTCTCCAACGTTCTCAGTCAGTCCCGTGTTCCGAATAGCTTGCGGTAGATTTCGGCCGAATTTTCCCTTAGCATACCCCGAGCCAAGGTTCAGTGATGGGGCATTGAAATCTCCAGCAATGGTGATTTGGTCATAGCCCAAGTCTCGTATCCCTGTGATAGTGCTGAGCAGTAGCTGATTGTGCTCTGCCCCACAGGTGGGAGATCGGTAGATGCCACCAAGTAAATGCTTGGTGTGGCCTACGGTGAAATGACACCATATGGAGTCTGGGAGTTCAATAAGTGGTGGGTCCGTTGCGTGCACACATTTAAGTTGCCTATCAAAGTATATGGCAACTCCACCTACTTCCTTATTATCCCTGTCTCTCCTGACCAAAACCATATCACCTATACTGATTTCATTATCGGCGATAGTGGGGGTTAGCCATGTTTCGGTGAGAATGATCATTTTCAGTTGTAGGTGTGCTCGGAGATTTCGGAATTCACCTATTTTTCCTCTCAGCCCCCTCACATTGCTATATAGGCAGCTGACAGTGAGTCTTACAACCTCAGCGTGTTGTGGGGTAGCTGACGTGAAGCTGTCTGCTAGTAGGGGACTTAATGTTGGGACTAGTTGGCCAGTTCCGATGGAACCGGCCCGTTGTGGTTTTTTCCCTTGGATTTAGGCAGGACACTTGGGTGGCACAGACTGTTATTCTCAGAACTGCATCGCTCTAGTGTCACTGAAGCTTGGGGACGTATTAAAGCCTCCATTTGCTGCCTCCTTATGGTTCGAGGTCTGCTTTCGCAGCATCGGATGTGTCCTCCCAATTTCCCCTTGATCTCATACCACCGTTGAAGTGCTATGGCCAACTGCTCTGGGGAGCTGAATGTGACACTTAGCAGCTTTGAGGAGCTAATCAGTGTGAGATGAGCGGGGTGAGGTAGTCGGTAAACGGAGATGGCTCCAGAAGCGCCAAGGGCCATCTGAGACGACAGCCATCACCATTGCTGAACGTCATGCATGTGTTTTACACAGGCGGGGTTCGTTTCCAGCTCCGGAACACTGTGTACCATCATAGGGGTAGGAGTCAAAAGTTCCGGTGACTCCCTCGCCATTTGTCTGACAGCCCATGGTCTGTCTTGTCTCACCCTTATGTTCGAGCTTCTGTCGATGGCTAGTACCTGAGCCATCAATAGTGCCTTTCCGGCCTCCTCGGCAGAGTCCAGTGTAACCCGTAATGGAGGTGGCTTACCTTGAGGTGTGTGGACACCCTTGTACAGCCTGCACAATTTCACTGAACTAATATTCAGACCTAGTTTATTGCACAGGTTGGACCACTGCTCCTGATCAAACAGGGCCCGCTGTTCAAGTAAGCTGTCCTTGCTCACAGGTACGTTAAAGAGGATGAGCGAATTAGACCGACTAACCTCAGACTTAGGTTTGACCTTTGGCTTCTCATATTCCTTTGCAGCATCAGCAACTTTAGGCTTCATCGGGTTCTGGCCAGCCTTTATTGTGTTGCCAAGCTTGCTTGTGGATGCAAGTGGCGCTTCTCTAATTCTATCTTTCCTTGATGTTTTGGGTCCAACCTTTTGAATCTTCACCTTGTGAAAACTGGCATTTCCAGTCAGTAGGACTGGAGTGTACTTCTTACTATCTGTGCCAAGTTTTGGCAATGTGATGTTAGCAGGTGGGGAGCTACATAAGGCCGTGTTGGGACACAAGAGCGGCGTGTTGTTTCTGCTATCCGCAGACACGCTCTGTGTGACTATGCCAGGGCGACAGAGTGGACAGATGTAACAAAACCACGGGCACGGGTTATTCCTCATGAACTCGTAGTATGATTTCGGTACCTCTTTGTTGCAACGGCAGTGCACCCACCGTTTGCAAAAATTGCATTCGAAAGCTGAGTCAGCTTTAGAAACAATGATATTGCATGCCTGGCATTCGTCTCCCTTACTTGGTGACGCCTTCGAGGTCTTATGACGTCTTGAGCGTTTC